AACTTCGCAGTCTTTATGAGATTATCGTAATTTGAACCAAATACGACCCACGAAATGTAACTCTTCCTTAGAAATAAACAATAAAATGATGCTTTAGATTTTATACTACATGTATCTTTTTCTTTTCCAGCATTTTATTAAGCGCGGTTTCTTAAACAGAGCCACAAGAGGAGGTGTCGCATATATATGATTCCATTTTGTCTTCTTGGAGAGCAAACTTAAGTATAATACCACATACATTTTAAGCCTAGATAGGTGAGTAAATCAACTAGAATAATATTTAAAAGGTATGCTAATAGACGTTTCAATTCCGATTTTCAGGACATAATTTTAAGCTGAAACGAAGGCAGACAGACAGCATGTGGAATTCCGAACCAACACATCGCCAGCACCATCAGCATCAGCACAATGGAAATTCTACCTCGGGCGGACCGCCCGCCAAGCAACTGGGCATGACCTCGGCTATCAGTCTGGCCGAGCCACGGCCTGAGGATCTCCAGCGCACTGATGAGCTCCGCGGCTCACTGGAGCCGTTCAACGTCTTTGAGAGCCAGGACGAGCTGAACCACCGTATGGAGATCCTGGCCAAACTGAACACACTGGTCAAGCAGTGGGTCAAGGAGATATCCGTCAGCAAAAATATGCCAGAGTCAGCCGCCGAGAAGCTTGGCGGCAAGATCTACACATTCGGCTCGTATCGATTGGGAGTCCATCACAAGGGTGCCGATATAGATGCCTTATGTGTTGCTCCGCGAAATATTGAGCGTACCGACTACTTTCAGAGCTTCTTTGAGGTGCTCAAGAAGCAGCCAGAGGTTACTGAGTGCCGCTCAGTGGAAGAGGCCTTTGTACCCGTCATCAAAATGAACTTTGATGGCATCGAAATTGATCTGCTGTTTGCCCGTCTGTCCCTCAAAGAAATCCCCGATGACTTTGATCTACGGGACGATAACTTACTGCGGAATCTGGATCACCGTTCGGTGCGCAGCCTCAACGGCTGTCGTGTGACGGACGAAATCCTGGCTCTGGTGCCCAATATTGAAAATTTCCGCCTGGCACTGCGCACCATTAAATTGTGGGCAAAGAGTAAGTGTGAGGATATAAAATTCTGATAAAATGAATTCTATTTTTTCTCATTTCTCCTCTTAGAGCACGGCATCTACTCAAATTCATTGGGTTACTTCGGTGGTGTAACCTGGGCCATGCTGGTGGCCAGGACCTGCCAGCTGTATCCAAACGCTGCAGCTGCCACACTGGTGCATAAGTTTTTCTTGGTCTTTTCGCGCTGGAAGTGGCCTAACCCAGTGCTGCTCAAGCACCCTGACAATGTTAATCTAAGATTTCAAGTAAGTCACAAAAAAAATTATCCAAATTGTCTGGTGGTCCTATAAATTTTCCTCTTTCTAGGTCTGGGATCCGCGTGTCAATGCGTCGGATCGGTATCATCTGATGCCCATTATTACGCCCGCTTACCCACAACAGAATTCCACATTTAATGTGTCCGAATCCACCAAGAAGGTCATATTGACCGAGTTCAATCGCGGCATGAACATAACAGATGAAATCATGCTCGGTCGCATTTCGTGGGAGCGTTTGTTTGAGGCGCCAAGCTTTTTCTACAGATACCGCCACTTTATCGTGTTGTTAGTCAACTCACAGACGGCTGACGATCATTTAGAATGGTGCGGCCTTGTTGAGTCAAAGGTGCGTCTGCTAATTGGCAACCTGGAGCGAAATCCTCACATTGCACTGGCCCATGTCAATCCCAAGTGTTTTGAGTTTAGGAAGGGCCAAAGTGCCAATAACTCGCAAAACAACAGTGGAAATGAAGACGACCTAAAGCAGTCGCAGGGTAACCAGTCTGCTGTTACGTCGGCACCCTTCTGTTCCATGTGGTTTATCGGCTTGGAATTTGAGCGATCGGAGAACCTCAACGTGGACCTCACCGAGAGCATACAGAACTTTACGGAGCATGTGACGATGCACGGCGTAAGTAGAAAATCGAAACTCCAATGCTTATTCAGTGCTTATTACTGTTTTAATATTGCAGGTTAACATCAAAATGCTTAAAGAAGGTATGACCATTGATGCCCGCCATGTGAAGCGCAAGCAGCTGTCGCTCTATTTAGACTCTGACTTCCTAAAGCGTGAGCGCAAGTCAATGGAAAGTCACAATAATTTTAATAACACGCTATTGGCCAACCGGAAGCGACTTTCTACGGAACTCGCCCAGTCGCAGGATCCACTGCCCCCTGGCCAGCAGCAATCAAGTGGAAATCGCGGTCGGGATAGCGGAGCCAAGATACAGAGACTCAGCGAATCGGTTAGTGGCTTGAATAGATATAAATTATGAACTTCCTATTAAGTAGAATCTTTGTATGTTTAGCTGACAGAGGAGAACTCGAATGCCTCCAGCGATATGGGGGCAGGGACACCCACCACGCCTACAACGGCGCAATTAAGTGCGCCAAGCTTTAAGAGCTCTGGCAAGAACAACGGCTCCGAGATTGACGTTGTGGACCAGGAACCATCACAGCCTCACAACAATGGCAGCAACAATGGCAATGCCAACAGCAACACAACCACAACGGAGGTGGCATGTTCGTGACAACCGCCAACGTTACATCCGCATCCGCCACATCAGCAGCCACCGCCAGCGCCGCCACAGCCACCAGCTCACCATCATCATCATCAGAAGTTCCGAAAGAACAACAACGCGGCTGCGGCAGCCGCCTCCAACAGCATTTTCAACCAACGCTCGATTCTGCATGCCGCTTCCAGTCTAACGGCTGCTCTAAGCATCACCGGACACAAGCGCAAGCAGCAAACGGCAACATCCACATCAACAACCACGATCAGCAGCAGCAACAGTGCTCACAGCAACTACAACCAGCATAGCATCCACAACAACGGCGGTGGCGGCGGCAGCCACTACAATAAAACGTACTACATTGATGATGATGACGAGGACAACAATCAACAACTTTTGACACCTAACAACCAAACACAACAGCAACAAAACGCGGTCAGAATAGCAGCGACGTCGGCGGCGCCAGCGACATCGGTTCCAGTAGCTGCGGGTGCCGCACCACCGGCACCGACAATTTCTTGTAAGTTGCTTAAATGTTTTTCCTCGTCCGTGTACTCTCATTCATTTTCTCCAACTTCCTTTGACACGAGACTGTTTCTGTATTCTTAAGTTGCCTATCTACTTACTATTACGTATTCTATATCCAGTATTCCGCTAATGTGGAAAGAACCTAACAAAAACATACTTTTAATGTTTTAAGTTTTAAAAATCCAATTTACCAAGCCCGAGACTAAGCTCAATAAATAAAGATGATGAAAATAAACTTTTTAAAAAAGAAAAACCACTGAATATTTTTCGTATTTTTATTTTTCAAATTTACAGTGAAATTTGTTTGGTCAAATTTTTAGGCAATATCAAGCTATTTTTTAGGCAATTTATCAAAAAAGATAAGTAATCTGGTTCGATATCCAAGAATCCATTTCCTAAAAAATAAATGGAAAGCATTTTTATTGATATTTATTTATTTCTATTTTGGTTTAGAAAAATGAGACTTTAAATATGTTGGGCTGTCTCTAGCTTTTGTCACTTTTATTGAATTAACGAATCCTTGGTTAAAATTTGTATGGGCTTTTAATACAAGGAGAGTTAGATCAATTTTATTTTTATTAGTCAAGCTGAAAATATATTTTCAGTGTTTTCCTTAAAATATAGATTAAGTGTAAAATTGAATGATGAGGGTATGTATGGAAATGGTTTCTTGCTGTGAATTTGATTTTATTGTTTCCACGTTGGTTGTACAATGTAATTTAATGAACATTTTTCTATAGAAATTTGGTTTTAAAATATATTTTGAACGAACTTAAATCCGAAATGTTTTGTTTCCATTTTTATGTATTTACGTGTAGTTTTCTTATATTAAGGTAAACCAAATATATATATCCCAATAACCACTTTTAAACCTTTTTAATGTCTTTGCAGTGTAAAAAGTTATTAAACATACCATTTAAGGATTAGTTATCATAGTTATTATCTTCCTATTGATTTTCTCGGCATTGATGCCTGAACATACATGAAGCCCACAATATTTTATACAAAACGGTGAGAGCAATATTAAATTTATGGCCAGTGAAGCAGCTAATTCGGTTTTCCATCCATTGCAGGTTTCTATCATACACCTTCTACAAACATGTGTTAAACATTATTCGTTCTACCAACTAACACGCCCATCGTCAAATCGAAATTGGCATTCGGAGATCAACAATCGCCGTTAAGACAAGAAAACATCATGACTAGAGGCGATTTTTTAGCGGCAGAGAAAGCATTTCTCTAACATTTGTCTTAATAATATTGTTGTACATCTTTTTTACTTCCCCACAGCTGGTTTGAGGAGTGCGTAGAAGAGAGAAGTGTGGAGAGGAGGAGATGAGGATGATGAGGAGGAAGATGGATGGTGTGACGGCGGCGGACGGACAAGATCCTGGAGAAGATTCGCTTTGAAAACTACTTACAAACTAAGAAGATTCTTTTTCATTTTTCATCTTGTTTTCAATATTTGTTTTCTTCTTCTTCTAGTTGTACAACGCTGAAAATTTGAAACAATTATGTTCGTTTTTCTAAGAAATGATATCTGAAAAAAGGTAATAACAAAAAACATATAAATGAAATGAAGATATTGATTTAATTTTACCAAATAAACCAGAAAAAAGAAAGCGAAAGCTAAAAACACCAAAATATCAATGTTTTACTTATTTATTGGAGATGGATGGTGGAGAATATAAATGGAGTATATTAATAACTTAATTAATTACATTACTCATTTAATTACTATTTTATTAAAAGCTGCTCACGAGATTTTTGATTTTGATGATGATGACAAAGGAAACGGTATAATTCATTCCCGCTACGTATTACTATAATAAAATATATTTATATCTGCAAACAAAAATCATAAAAATTTGGAATTTGCATTTTTATGAAGGGAAAGATCGTAAATCAGTCCTATGGCATAACAAAGATTTACTCGAATTACAAAGATTAACCATGATCAGTATCTAACTGAAATTTGATTGAGTGCGTGGATGAGCTCAGTTAATGGCCAGTTGGTGCAGCGGATACTTGGGGATGAAGTACTCCATGCGCTGGTTGCGTCTAATGGCGCACTCTTGGTACTCCAACCAGTCAGTGTAGGACTCATTGTGGCACTGCTCCGAGTGCCCCTTCTCGTAGAGCTGCTGGCGCAGGGAGGAAAAGAAGGGGCGCACTTTCTTCTTCCTGCTGTAGACGTGGCGCATCAGCCAGTTGGCGACCTTAATCTCGTTGTAGATGGTCGATCTGTTCAAGCAGACTGTGGTCAGGTTCACCATTTTTGGGTAGTAGTTCGTAATCGGGTGCGGATTCACTTTCATTTGAGCTTTTTCATGATGGTCCGGGCCGAAACGGGTGTCGAGGAATTGGTGGCCGAAGGTGACGCCCCAAGCATTGTACACTTTCTCCCCATATTGGTTGGTAACGTATTTTTGCACACTCACGGTCAGCTCTTTGGCTGTTCCATTTCCAGCGGCTCCTCCTGCGGCACCTGCGCCTGCAGCTCCTGGGTCTCCAGCTCCAGCACCTGCGTCGGCAGGTGGAGCTTCTGCGTCTTGTGGGGAAGCAAATAGTCGAATTCCGCCTTTATAGATTTTCTTAGGAGCAGTAGTGCTCTCTTTGGTCACAGTAAATGGTGGCACACTGCTTGCATTGTGGCCATCCTTACGACGATAGTCGTCCTGCTGTTTCTTTGCGAAAACTCTGAAGCCGTCAGATTTTTGCTGCATTTGGTTATTGGAGCCTCGATCCATCTTGAAAATATCGAACTGATCTGGCTTGACCTGCCTCGGAGCTCTCTCCGCCGGAACATCCACCTTGCCGCTTGGAAGTGACTGCGGATCGGGCGGAGCCAGTGGCAAGCTAAACACTTCTTGTGTCCATAAAATCTATTGGAAAATAATATAGGTGATGTAGTTGCTGGCTCGACGCACTCACGACTATCGATGTTATGGCCAGGAGGACTGCTTGGAGGACTCCATGCCAATGCATAGTATTCTGTGGGATTTACTGTAGATGTCTCTTGTCTTTATAGTGTGATTCAACTATACGAATGTAGAAAATACGTGTGTTCAACAACTGGGCCTTAGTGACTTCAATTACAAAGAAACTTCGATTACTAAAGAGAAGAAACCATAAAACCATATGAAAGGCTAGCAAAGAAAAGTATGTCTTTAAATATATGAGTGCCATTTGCTGATGGTTTTAACAGAGTCTTTTATAGTTACTAATTTTGAACAGGTGGATTTTTCAAGAGCTAAAAATTTCTCGAGGTTGATTTCGTTCTGAGTACAGTGTGTACAGTCGCCACACGAACAGCTTAAGGTAGTGAGCACTTCTTGACTGATCCTGCGTGATACCTAAAATTTCGTGGGACGACACGGGGAACACACTTCACGTTAACTACCAAAGCTAACCCGACGGTGATCTGCGATCCCATGTCCTTTCTGGGCCAAACCTAATTGCAATTCTGCGAAAATTATGCGCGACACAGCTGCGCGTTTTTCCCCGAAACCTAGTAGCATTAATCCGTTTATGGCCACGGATTAAGTTGCAAAATTTTCACTAAGGTCGCCGCGATCCGGGACGCGAATTCGCGGAACAGCCCCGACCCTTCCAGGTAACAACGCCCGCCACCCACAGGTAGGTGTTAATGGGCCAAGAAGGCGGGTATAAAAGATCTGGCCAACGGCAAGGAAGTCATCAGTTACCAACGCATCCTCAAAGTGTGAGGATCCCGCAGTGAAAAGTAAAGTATACGAGTTTGGAACAGCAATTATACGACAAACCTTGTTCGGTTTTGCCAATTTCCTAGCCAGCACTGGGTAAAGTTTGTCCTATAATCCCGAAACGACGACCAGCCAATTGTGAACCCACCAAGGTCCTGATCCTGGGATGCATCTTGTGCAGTTATGTTTCTATCTCACATCACTGGGCAAAGTGTGTCTCAAGATCCTGGCCACTTCGACGCAACTACAAATCAACAACAAATGCAGAGTAAGTGTTATAGGCACTGCAGTTTTAAAATTGAATGGCGAATGTCGGTATGGTCTCTTTTTCAAAGAAGGTTTCGATCGAGCGAAGTGACTAGACCGAACACTCGTGCTATAATTTTAAAATATTCAACATGCACACTGTGAAGTTGCGAGTGAAAACAAAAGATACTGTAGCGGTTGCAATTAGTTTCTTTGGTCGTCCAGCCTTAGGTGACTTTTCTGATCATAAAGCTAGACAACCATTGAAGTTCGTTGTGGCATCAGCAGCACCAAGAGTTAGCAAATCCAGTTAAGTGATCCCCTAATTTGACGGGCCGTTCGCTAAAAGGAACGATCGTTGTGATATGCGTTGTTCCCTAACATATCACAGTGATTTTCCTTTATAACGCATGTAAAAAGTCCAAAACTCATCAATGGGAAATGAAAGCCAAAGTTGCCAGCTTACTTAGCTAAATCGCAGCCTTTAAAGTAGAGGGAATAGTTGCCGTGCTGTAAGTTAATATATCATATCTATATCACAGTGGCTGTTCTTTTTGTACCTAAAGTGCCTAACATCATCATTTTGTTGCCTTATTTTGGTGCACGAAAACCCATACCGTTTTTAACCCCAGGGAACCTCTGCTGCTGATATATTATTGAAAACTCCTATATCACAGTGGCTGTTCTTTTTGGTTGCACGGCCAATTCCAGCGATTTGTCATTTGTGGCACGCATTTGTGTCACCTTGGTGCGAAAATTGAAAATTGTTCAAAAAGAAGGGAACGGTGGCTGATGATGTAGTTCGAAACTCTCACAATTTATATCACAGTGGCTGTTCTTTTTTGTTTGCCAATCGATCTGCGTTCAGTGGTTTGCCAGTACATGAAATAGAAATATTTTGCTTCGACAGATTGTGATTGCACAAATTCCTCAAGCTTTGAACATTTGGCAAAAACTGATGAGACGGTGGTTTTCTATTCGTCATCTGTCTGCAGTTTTGGCCTTGTTTAATTGCACTTTGCAATTCATAGCCTTTTGTTCAATCAGTTTAGGTGCTGGTGCAGAAAATATGCAATTGCTAATAAATAATGTTTGTATTTTTGGCATAAAAAGCATGTGCCGAGTCAATTATTGTTATATCTGTGATTTGTTTAGAGATAAATCTTTAAAATAATAAAGATATGATTCCCACATATATTTTCTTCACTGTACCCCAAGCCAAGTGCGTATTTGCAGTATAAATTTCAATTTAAGGAACCGTCTCAAGTTTGCACATGCATTTTAAATAGATGCTGATGTGCGCCCCCGAAATCGTCAGCCAGGAAGTGTCCTGGTAATGTGGGAGTACCACGTGCAAAACTTTCTATCCGGTAACAGCCTGCTGGGCAACCCTTTCCAGGTGAAAGAGCACCTGACTCGCATTTGGAATTTAACGCGTGTGCGGAATGGCCAAAAGTTGGCCAAAACCCACTCATGGCCCGAGGCGTGGCGGCCAGTTTGCTGCTGGCCAAATGCAAAACAAGCAAACGGCGAAATCCCGTTCTGCATTGACAGGGCCATGGCATAATGCTCGTTATGGCTGCCAATGGCCAGCAGCCATTGTTGCATTGTGGCCAAGGACGCTGCTGTCTGTGCCACCGTTGCTGTTTCGACTTATGTGTTATCCTCCAGCTCGACCGGAAGTGGGAAAACACAGGGGAGGCAGGAGGAAACCGAGTGGCGGAAATGCGATTAAAATGTTCCGTATAGTCAATGCCAGCATCCGCTGTGAGGAAAACAAAGAATTATGCTCGTAGAATTAGTACACTAAACAAATATCAAACTTGTCTATAGTTTCCTACATTGTTATTGCAATCGTTTTGCTCTAAATGAATTCGAACGGAAACCCCACAGATAGCACGTAACTTTCAATTGCATTATATTGGCTTACATTTCGAGGAGAGTTGCCGATTCATATAAGAGTTATATTAAAAACAATTAGCATTGGTATTTGTATCTACTCTATCTTCGCATTCAGGCGATACAGGTAATTTTCCACGCGTATCTTTTGCCGCAGCACTTTCCGCGAATCTCGCTCGATTGTGGCCGTAGTTTGGTTGTGATCGTGGAAGAAGCCGCAGTACCTGGCGGGTACGAATTGCTTGATCTTCTGCTGCCGGATGTACCGCTCCGTCACCTGGAGGCTGCACTTCTTGATCGCCGCCACCTCCACATGCATGCACGCCCGGCACATGTCCGCATCATTGCCAAAGTTGTGGAAGTAGTCACCCACTGGCTTTGCGCCGCAAGTTGAGCACTTGACAATGTTTGTGGGACTGCAAAAGATCGCCACCGATGGCCAGATGATGCGTCTGGATCCAAAAGCCGTCTCCACGTCCCAGTCCGGATATTTGAGGTGGTGCGTGTAGGTAGACGGGCTGGAGAATCCATCTTAATATGCTAACATATCTTCAAAAATGCAGGATTCTTACCCGGGTGTCACCCACTTTTGCTCCCGCGCAATTTGCTTGTTGAAGGTGAAGTAGTACTGAGTTCCTGGGAAATCCGTAGCGTAGGATCCAATGGGTGGATATCCCAATTCTCGAAAGGGTGGTAGTCGCGGCATCTTGTTGGCCAAGGCAGAAAATCCGGCCTTCGAAGGGTACTGTAACAATAACGCATAATAATGGTATAAAAGCAAGCACTATTGAAATGAATTGTATGTTGGAGTCCTACCTTAAATCCCATTGGTTTGGCCACGTCATAGGCATTGGGAGCGACCGAGGGCAGTTTGTGGGTGTAGCTGTCCCTGCAGAAATTTCCGCTGGAGTCCCGGCGGATTTTCCTGAGAAATCCGACCTTCGGCCATACCGGTGGATTGACCACATACTCGAAGCCTGCGAATGAGACGTTTAACGGCATTAGTGACTTGAACTTGAAACCAGAAGATCTCCACCTAGATCATTGCAGCCGGCGACAACGAGTCTAGTTTCGGATCGCTGGCGACGCAGCCTTTCGCGCTCCTGGGCATTTGGTCTTTGGGCACGCATATTGCAGGAAAGTCGTTGGCAGACTGAAAGTTGTATCGAAAATGCTGAAATTGGCCAAGTGTCGAACGGTGACAGCCACCGCAGCACACGCATCGCAGCACGCACCAAATGCTTTAATGGAATTCGAATATACGAGTATTTCCCCCATCGATGATGATATAAAATCAATATGTCTAAACCGTCGACGGTTCGCCGCGGCATCGGTGTACGATGTTTGATTTCATTTAGCACATGTCTAGACGACTTTCCTTATTTCGTGTTTTTTCAATGTTTCAATCTTTTCGTTCTATTTCGCTGTTATTCGACCCGCCTGACTGGCTGACTGCCCCCGAACTTTGACCCAGTTGGGGGATTTTGGTGCGAGTCTAATAGCTTCAAGGGGCAAGCGGAAATGGGGCATAAAGTGGTTTGTCATTGGTGTCGATAACAAAGGTGGGCAAAAATTGTTTTGCAGTGCGTGATGGCTTTCGGAAAACATTTAAGAACACTAACCCTGCAGAATAGCTGACTGAACAGCGCACTGTTTTCCTATCAAAAGCAATTCATCACTTTTTGTTAACGACTAAGCAACCAGGTCGAAATCAACATAGCAATCAAACCATTGAAAATGTACAACATGAAATCTTATTGAATAGTTTGTTTTCCACTTACCATCCATTGGGAAAACGCTTAAGGGTACAAACTTAGCTATCAGTGGATAGCTATTCAAATTTGGTAACAAACAGGCTCTACAACGAACCCAATTTGATGGACGGAAATGTCGTCGACAACTGATCGCAGTATGAAATCAAGTTCCCTATCTGACGTCTTTTTGCTCGCCATACTTTTGAAATATTTTCGAAATACCTGACCGATTGGGTAGATGAATGTGGCATATGCACACGCAAGGTCTCGAAGTCATGACAATCGCTTTTAACAATTTTCCAAGCGGTTTATCGGCGGCTTTCCGAGATGGCTGAAACGACAGACTGGCTGCATGCCATTATTGCCAGTTAACCCCGACGTTGTCATCACCTTGGGCCATAGCCACCACTTGGCTCGGGGTTTTTCTTTTTTTTGGCCGGGACCTTAGGTCCTCACCGACTTTTCCAATTTCCCACTTTTGCACCTGCCGCATGGCACACACGCACCTGAATGCTAATGCAGCAGCGGCAGCACGCACAAATGCACAACCGCATTGCAACCACACGAGAAACCCAGGCAGACATCCTGCTGGATGGAGACAGTGGATAAAATTAATTCGTCGAGGAATGGAAGTACTTTTCCAACCAATACCACACAAATTCGCATACACAGCTGGTCTTCTTTGGAATTTTTGCAACTAAGTGTGCCACACTTCGCAGTATCTACAACCAAGGAACCATTTTCTACTCATATGAAGAGGTTGAAGTGCTCTTTAATTGGCGCATAAAATATATCGAACTTAGGAGCTGTAAGTACTGAAATATTTCGAT